GCTGTCACCGAAGCTGCTTTTGAATCAAGTCCGACTGCTGCTGACTTGCAGCCATAGCAACCTGGAAAAGTCCGACGAGCAGGTGCGATTTCGTGGTGGTGGAGTTGAAGGGTCTGGGCACCTACAACAGTAGGTTATGAGCCCAACGTGCCACAGTGGCTCCAGATGATGATGCAGCGAAGACGGGCTACACCGGAAGAACTAGCTCAAGGAGAAGATGAAATCCGACGAGCTAACCAACGTATGGAGGCAGAGCTGGCCAGTGGAACTGAGCCGCAGTTAGAAGACAAAGGAAGGTCTGAGGCAGAGGTTTTTGAATCCCCCGGAAATCCAAAGGATAAAAGTTTGGGAAGTGAGGAGAAGCCAAAAAGTGCCCCGAAATCTTTCTTTCCTCCTGGTGCAGAAAAGCCATCACAGGAGTCAGCTGCGAAGTCGTCAGATTCAGCGAAGTCAGTTCCTGCCACACCAAGGAAAACTCAGGTATCACCATCAGAACGTTCCGAACTGCAGCAGAACCCTCAGTCTGCCCCAGGTTCAAATCAAGCGGTTGTTTTGGCATCCACCGAAGTTGTCAAGACTCCTGAGACCTCTGCGGCAATGGTGGTATCGAATGTTCAGGGTATGTCAAATGGACCTCAATATGCGGAAAATGATTCTGGGCGAGTGCATCAAGTTGTTTCTGTGGAAGCCACACCTGCTGCCCAATCCAATGTTTCTTCAGTTCCTCTTTTTGATGAAAGCCAGATTCGAAGATTCCAGGAAATCTACAACCAAGTACCTTGGCTCTATCCAGGGAATCAGCTGTTGGGACCACCCGCAATGGTGCCACAACCGATAGCAAGATCTTTGTTTTTGGAGCAAGATGAGCGTAGAGTCCATGGAGTTGGGATGGTTCGGGATCAAGCTTCATACCTGTTTCCATACATACCTCAACCTGGTCCCTCTGAACATGCTGAACTTAGAAGCGAATTGGAAAGAATTATGGAAGAAAATCAAAAATTAAGGGCTAGAATCGAAACGTTGGAAAGCATGCGAGTGGATGATGATCAGAAGTTTTCCATCCCGGAAGAACCCAAAAAGGAGGCTGTAGACCCCCACTCAAAGGAGGCTGCAGGTTCCCGTGTCAAGGAGGCTGTAGACCCCCACTCAAAGGAGGCTGCAGGCTCACCCTCAAAGGAGGCTGCAGACCCCCGCTTTAAGGAGGCTGTGAGACCACCAAAGACCGAAGCTCAGGATCCACGAAGTTTCAAAGCTGAGGAGGCTGTGAGACCCCCAAAGCATGAAGCCGAAGATTCGAGGAGCTCTCAACCAAAGGAGGCTGCAGACCCCCAAAGTCAAAGACCTAAAGATGACGGAAGTGGAGCCAATACCGCTTTCACTGAGCGATCTTTGGAGTTCATGGCACTCATGATGGACTCCATGAAGGAGATGCACAAGCGCCTCAACGAGCCAAAGGACGAAGGCGTGATCAAAGGAGTTGAAACGGTGAGGTCTGGAGCTCCAGATCTCCCCTTGCTGGCTCCGTGGGAGCCCCAACAAGGACCCTTGATCCTTGGAGACTGGCTGTTGATCATCGAGCCCATCATCTCAGACCTCTCAACGTCTGCGAGCGTGTGGTGGAAGACATCGGTGTCAGCAGCTGAAGCCTGGTACAAGGTGCACATGGCCCTGTCTCCTCTGGACAGGATTCAACACAAGGTTGAGACACCTGAAGAAGTGCTTCAACAAAAGTGGGAAAGGTTGGAAAGAAGGGTTGCGACTATGCTTCTTCAAGCCCTTCCACAAGAAGTTCGTGGTGAATTGGTGGCTGCCAGAAGGCTCACCACCTTTGGTGTCATCACGCACTTGCTGGTGACATACAGCCCTGGCGGAATCTCTGAGAAACAGAACTTGCTCCGGAACCTTGAAGACCCTCCGGAGATTCAAACTGTTCAAGATGGTCCAGCAGCTCTACGACGATGGCTCCGCTGGCGACACCGAGCTAAAGATATCGGGGCGGTAGCTCCTGATCCGAGTCTTCAACTTCGAGGACTCTTAAAGATGTCAAAGAAGACCCTTGAAGCGCACCGAGAACTTCAGTTTCGTGTGAGCCTTGTGAGGAGTGGTTTACAAGTGGACACGGTTCCCAACGACACCAATGTGGAGCAGTTCGCATACCACCTCCTTGCTGAATATGAGCAGCTCTCGATCTCTGAAAAGCGCCCTGGGGGAAATGCAACTACATCCAAGCAGGATGCCACAAAAGCCAAACAGAATGAAGTCGAAAAGCCGAAGGCTGCGAAGCTTCGAAAGTTGGAGGAGGATGCAAGGTCCCCCACAAAGAGAAGCGAAGAAGGAGAGACAAGAGGAAAGTGCAAGTTCTACCTTTCTGATCAAGGATGCAGAAGGGGAAAGGCTTGTCAATGGTCTCATGACCAAAAAGATGAAAAGAGAAGATGTTGGAATTGCGGGAGTCCAGAACACATGTCTCCTGCGTGCCCAAGACCGAAAGAAAGAGGAGAGTCCTCACCGCAGAAGCCAAAGGTTCAGAAGGTTGAGGGGGAGGACACTTCGTCAACAAGCTCAAAGTTGAAGGAAGATGAAGGGACTGAAGGTCCAACCATGAAAGAACTGCTGGAACAGGCCAACACTATGTTGAAGTCCTTGACCACTTCCAGTGCGACTTCTCCCAAAGCCAATCTGGTGGGGAATCAAAAGAGGAGATGATGGATCGTCTTCAACAACAACTGGATCGAATGAAGCTCAAAGGCCTCAAGATCAACCAGATCAACTACGGCAGCCAACAGGGATTGGTTGACTCAGGTGCCACACACCCATTGCGTCCGATGCGTCTGGGTGAATCCAAGAACGACTACAAGAAGGTCTCTGTGACCCTTGCCAACGGTGAGAGCACTGCCCTTCAAGTTACTCCAGGTGGTGTGATGGTCTCCGAGCGCAAAGATGTCGAGCCTATCATCCCCATGGGTATGCTGGTGCAAAAGCTTGGATGCAGGGTTGATTGGAACCAAGGAACACTTCAAATCCATCATCCTGATCGTGAACTTCTACCAGTACAACCTCAAGAAGGGTGCCCTCAAATCCCAAGAGCTCTTGCTCTTGAACTCATAGATGAGCTGGAGACGAAAGCACTCCAGTCCAAGTCTGAAGAGAAGAAGTTTGAGAAGGAAAAGATTTGGATGCAAGCTCTGGTCGAAGCTCACCCTGTCCTTCGACAACTACCAGCGGAAATCAAGAAACGCTTGGTGGTGGATGTTGGATCCTGGCGTGATCTCCCTGTCAACCGACGTCAACGACGAAGACTTCAACGGGATGGCTTCATTGCTCATCTCTATGCAGGGGAGTCTGAAGGGTTCACACTGACAAGAGCCTACCAGCAACAGGGTGAGAATCCAGCCGACATCCTCGAGGTGGACATCAAACGTGGGGAGAATCACAATCTCCTCATGGACTCTGGAGTTTACAGCGGTTTGCTGTGCGCTGTGATGAGCGATAACGTCGAGGCCTTCATCGCTGGACCCAACTGCAGAACAAGGTTAGTTTTGAGGCACTATCCAAAAGAAAATGCTCCGCGACCAGTCAGGGCGTGGGGAGGTGAAGAATTTGGCCTCAAAGATCTTTCTGAACAAGAGCGCTTGCAGGTGTTTGAGGACGACGTCTTGATGTGGAGGTTCATTTTTCTTTGGATGGTGGCCACATACATCAGAGAAGCCAAACAAGTTCAACGACCAATTGGATTCCTCTTGGAACAGCCTGCAACGCCCAAAGAGTATATGCCTCAATGCGTGTCGTTTTGGACACCAACGAATGGAAGCTCTTGCGAGATGAGTTCAACTTTGAGGAGACCACATTCTGTCAAGAACACCATGGAGGAGCGGCCTTGAAACCAACAACAATGGGTGGCAACATGCACCTCAACATCGACAGCCATCGAATGAGAAGGCCAACCTCTGTGGACATCAGGTCTTCTGCTCAGCTCTCAAGATGGGCTCCGGGCACAATGAACATGGTGGCCGAGTCCTTGATGCTGCAGGTGAAGTGCCAGCCTCTGAAGATGTGCCCTCTCAGCTGGGATGAGCACATAGCACATGGCCATACGCCATATCGGCGAGACTGCCTGGTTTGCCAACAAACCATGCAACAACAACACCCACATCGAAAAGTACCATATCCAGTCGGAGGAGTTCTCTCGCTGGATGTTGCAGGTCCTTTGATTCCTGCCAAGGACTTGGGTGGCTTGCGAGCTCGATGGATGCTGGTTGGAACTCTGACATGGGCCGTGCCAGCCGGGTCAAACAAGCTCCAAGATGCTCATGTTCCACAAGCTGACGGAGATGAACCTCACTTTGAGGTTCACCCTGAAGAAGAAGAAGGAAAAGAAGGGGCCCAAGCCCTAGAAGATAAAAGAGAAGAACGAAGTGAGGCTGAAGAAGAAGAAGGAGAAAAGGTAGAAGTTTGGGGTGAAGAAGATGGGGAAAAGAAAGAGGATGAGCTCTCTCAAAAACCTCATCCAGTGCCGCCATATCTGCTACCACCTTCACAACCGAAAGATGGAGAAAAAGAACTTCAACCAGGTGGCTTTGACACCAAGATCTTCCGCCTGGCCTCTCCGATGATCACCAAGACCGCAAGGGAGGTGACAAGAACCACAATGGACATGCTCCTCAGGCTTCGCATGGATGGTTTCCACATCGGTCGCATCCATAGCGACAGGGGAAGGGAGTTTGCCGGCCAGTTCAAAAAATGGGCCAACTCGCGGGGCATAGCTTTGTCTCGCACCTCGGGCGATGATCCCAGAGCAAATGGCCGAGTTGAAGTAGCCATCAAGACCCTCAAAACTCAGGTGAGGCGATTGCTGAAAGCTGCTGACGTTGGCAGTGAACTCTGGCCCCTTGCAGCTCGATATGCTGATGCCCTGAACCGAAGCTGGAGGATTGGAGAAGAGCCGAAGTTTCCACCTTTTTTGCAAGAGGTTTTGGTGAGGAGAAGAACATGGAGAAAGGGTGTTTTTGAGCCCACGACGGAAACGGTTCAATACCTTTTTCCAGCAACAGAAGAACATGGCCACTGGATCCTTCCGAAGGATGAGCCGCCACGAGTGACGAGGTATGTCATGAAGAAGGCCAAAGACCCCGTCTCTGAGCACCAATGGCTCGCCTTGGAAAAGGACACCGTGGATGCCCTCTTGGTCCGCCGAAGACTTCGAGGAAAATCAGCGATCAGAAAGATCGAAGAAGATGATGTTGAAGAGAAAGAAAGAGAAGATCAAAAGAAAAGGAGGATCAACTACATAAGGGTCATCGAAGATGAGATGAAAATGATGATCAATGATGATCCTGAAACAGTGATGGATGAGATGGCCATTTTGGCCAACATGAGGAAGATGGCAGCTGAGACGAATGAAGAAGAAGAGGTCTTGCAGACACGAATTGTGTCACCACGTGAAGTGGCCGAAAACTGGAGCGATTGGCTCCCGGCCATCACCAATGAGGTTGACTCCTTGCTCAAAGAAAAGGAGGCCTTCAGAGAAATCTATCCAGAGGAACTCCACAAGATGCAGAAGGAGGCTGAAAGGTCAGGAAAGGGGATTGAGTTCATCCCATCCAAGCTGGTCTTTACCAGAAAGCCAGGGCCAGAAGGAGGAAAGAAAAAGATGAGGTGGGTTGTTTGTGGCAACTTGGAACCGAAGAAAGAACAGGAGGATAACTTCAGTTCAGGTGCAGATGCCTCCGCCCTGCGCATTCTATGTTGGTGCTGCGCACTTTACCCATGGGTTGCCTCAACTCTCGATGTGCGCACAGCCTTCCTCAACGCCAAGATGGTATTGGCCGATGATGAGGATCCAATCCTGATCAAACCTCCTGCTCTCCTGGTCGAGAAGAAGTACCTGAGAAGAGATGTCTACTACCTGCCTGAAAAAGCGATCTATGGGTTGCGACGGTCTCCAAGACTGTGGGGCCTCACCAGGGACGAGACCATCTCTGACTTCTCAATCCAGGGGGAGCACAATGGAAAGCACATGGAGTTCATGCTGGAGCCTTTGCAGTCCGAACCCAACTTGTGGAAACTGCGAAATGCCCTTGAACCAGAAGACACCACTCTGTATGGTCTTTTGATGACGTACGTGGATGACCTGATGCTGGCATCATCTCCAAACTTACTCCAAGCCATGCAGGCCAAGATCCAATCGACATGGACCACTTCAACACCAGAGTTTGTCGGCCCGGAACCTGTCAGATTTCTGGGAATGGAGATCTCAAAAGAATGGAAAGAGGAGTTTCAAAGAGATGTTTGGATGGTGACGCAGCAGTCCTACACCAAAGACCTCACACAAAAGGATCCTGAAGTCAAGCCAAAACGGATCCCTTTGACCAGAGATCAATCAGCCATGGAACCAAATGAGGCTGAGATCACACCTGAGCTGATCCGCTCCTGCCAAAAAGCTGTTGGCGAAGTCTTGTGGCTGACAACCCGGGCACGGCCAGACATCATGTACGCTGTAAGCCGCATGGGCTCATCATCCACGAGGGCACCACATGCCGTTTTGGCAGCCGCACTCCAGCTCAAAGGCTACCTGATGGCCACTTCAGATGAAGGGTTGATGTTCAATGTGAAAGAAGGTGAAAGCCCCGTTTTGACGGTGTACACTGATGCAGGTTTTGCGCCGGATGCACAGGAGAGCCATGGATCATTTGTGGTCCTGCTGGGCACAACTCCAATTTTCTGGAGGTCGGGCCGCCAGAGCTACATCACGCTCTCAACTGCTGAAGCAGAGCTCACTGAGATCGTGGAGGGCATGATAGCTGGTGAATCGATCTACGTGATCCTGGCAGAGCTCTTCCCTGTGGTCCACAAGCTTCTCAAAACTGACAGCCAGTCAGCACTTGCCATCTTGTCCAACGATGGTGGTAACTGGCGAACCCGCCATTTGAGGCTGAGGTGCTCCTTCGCAAGGCAGTCGATCCTTGCGGGTGAATGGGTCATTCAGCATGTGGCTGGTGAGTTCATGATTGCCGACATCGGCACCAAGCCACTCACAGCGGCACGACTTGAGTTCCTCAAAAAGTTGATGGGGATGGGAAAACTGGTAATCAAAGATGAAGTGAAAAGTATGGAAGTTGAAGAAAAGAAAGAAGGAGAAAAGCAGGACGGTCTTTTGACCACCAAGGAAAAGACCAAAGTCGCGGAGGCAGCCCAAGTTTTGAGGCTGATCACTCTTGCAGCGTCAATTGCTGCAGTCAAAGCGGAAGAGGGGGAGAAGGAGCACGAAGAGACCTATCCTTTTGAGGTCATCATTGCCTACACCTTGGGAATCATCATTTTGACGTTGGTGGCGCAGCGAATCTGGAATGCAGCAGTACGAGGGGTCATCGTCGTACGACAGTATGTTTTGGCCAACCTTGGAAGACTCTCCATGAACGCTGTGCGAAAGGAGGAAGAGATCCCCGAAGGAGATCAATCTGAATCGCTCCCGGCATCAAATGAAAGCCGGTCCACCGACTCAAATGATGGTGATCAAGTACCACCTCAAGCTCCGCTTCCAATTCCTGAAGATCCGCCCTCAACATCAGAAGCTCCGCGACCAGAACAGGCGATCAACGTGGTTTTACAATCAGAAGCTACCCAGACTGGAATTCTTCCTGGGTATATTGCGAACGTGGCCCAGACTGGAATATTTCCTGGGCCTGAGTCCGAGGTGATCCAGACTGGAATAATTCCTGGATCCGACTCACGAATGACCCAGACTGGAACATTTCCTGGGTTTAACGATCGCGATGCCCAGACTGGAACGATTCCTGGGCATGAGACATCGGCACTTTTTCAAAGTCAAGAAGAACGAGCCGCTGCTCTCGAGATGCTTCGTCAACATGATGCGACGATGGTTAACTATGAAGCTGAGTGGAATCAGATTCTCAGAGAAGAAGATCGAGTTCGTGATGAGCTCACCAATGCTCAGCCAGGACATCCCATTTTGGGACCTATGAATGCTCCACAAGCTGAACCAGCGCTACCACTCCTGCCCTTCGAAGTGATCACTACGCGGTATGGAACCGTGTATCACAATCGGTTGGACTGCCGGTATCTCACTGCGCCAATGACTGGACATGCACGACTCCATCGATGGTGCGCCAAGTGTCGAGCCGAAGCAGCCCAGACTGGAAGAATTCCTGGGCATGGATTTGCAGTGCTGATCAGCGGCCGAGAGATCGATTTTCATACTGATGTGACATGTGAAGAAGCTGAAAGGGCTTCCACTTTTGCACTCTGCACTGCATGCCTTGAAGGTACTTGAATATAGCAGCTTGAGCTGGGCCGAATGTATTTTGGTTGAAGTGCCTAACGGCTACTTCAAAGGGGGAGTGCTGTGTTCAGAGTACATAACATGCATTCCAACCCCCATTTTCCATATCAATTCAGACTCAGCTGTTTTTCATTTGCGGCTGTCACCGAAGCTGCTTTTGATTCAAGCCCAACCGCTGCCGACATGCAGCTATAGCGACCTGAAAAAGACCAACGAGCAGGTGTGATTTCTTGGTGGTGGGGTTTGAGAAGATCAAGGATCTGGGAACCTACAACAGTAATTACAATCATCATTACTATTAGCGGTGGTGACAAAATTCCAACCAATGATCATATTTCCCAGATCCAGTTTCCCACTTCTCCCAACTTAACTCACCCCGGTGGCAACCCAACCCCACTGGAGACCCCGGACCACGCCAAAGTTCGACAGCACCGTGGTGAGAAGCTCCTCGGAGGCCCTGCGGCCATGGATCACGTCGTTGACCTTGGCGAGCGAGCCGGCGAGTGGCGTTGGGAGAAACCAGGGATATATAGTGGTTATAGTGGTTAATAGTGGTTGATAGTGGTTGATAGTGATGAATAGTGATTCATAATGGTGAATTATTATAATAGTTAGTGACTCAATGAGTTAGTTGTTAATGTGAATAACTAATAGTTAGTGATTAATGGTGGTAAATAATGATAATTAATGGTGGTTAATGATGGTTGATTAGCAACTAGAAATAGTTAATGATCTTAATGGCTAATAAATGTTAATCACACTGAATATCCATCCATTAACTATCAATGGTGGTAACTCTCAATTGGTTAATGGTGGTTAATAGTTGAATCAATGGTTAGTGGTGATTGCAGTAATAATGGTTCCTTAATGTAATGTTCCTTATATACTTCATGATGGCCAATGATAGTGAATCTTAAAGTTTGGGATGATTGTGTGGATATCAATTGGTATCCAATGATATCCATGAATATCTCACAAACAAGATCCTTTAAAACTGATAAGAAACTAAAAAGTATATGGCAAATTCATAAAGGAAATGCACTATGTGTAGATATGCGGCTTTCCATGAGTTATTTGATGATTATACTACTCATGAAACTCATGTGCAGCTTGTGATAAGTTTTATCTTGAATTCGTCAAATTAATTGTCGGCCATATTTGGCGTAAATGACGGGAAATAATCCAAACATGGAACGTATGGTTGAGGATGGGAAGTCCTATTCATGATTCAGCTCGATATAGCAACAAACATTAATCTCACACGTTCTATTGCTGTGATTTTCGGTGTTGCATTCATGGACTTGAGTTGGGGTATAGAACTGCGGAATTCCACTGTTGATGGTCAACATGGTAACCTGGTATAGCTCACGTCAGGAAACTCGGTTCCGCTAAAAAAAGAAAGCTTCCAGGCTTCCAATAGCTCCTTGTCTCCCTCCCAAGACTAGATACATACCAATTAGAATGAACATGAATGAACTATCTTGTGGTTGGGAATCTCAATTCGTAGCTTCCACTGGCCCCCAGTCGGACTCATATTTGGAGGATCATTCCACCTAGTAACTGGTTGGTAACCCTGATAGCAAGTCCCCGATGCGTGGCTTACCGATTATCCCATCTATAAATCAGATAAATGATGGTAAATGATGATAAATGATAAATGATAAATGGGTGAACTAACTCTGCAGTTATTAAATGTTATTAATTATAAACCGCTTATTAATGGGTGATTTCATCACCACTTTCGATCAATAGGATGACCCTTCGAGTCCTCGCACGAGCACGGCCACAGTGAGGTTCAGGTTGGGAAAGCTGGCGAAGACTGGGCCGAAGCCGCTCACCACCTGGTGAAGTTGGCGGATGATATCCATCGTGTGGAAACAAAGACATAAACATCAACAATGTTGATTCATATATGATTCATATAGATAGATATAGTGGCTGAAACACATATGTATGATTTTGGATAGTTGAATGAATACGTATGTATATATATATATATTATATTCATTCACATTTTGAATTCTATGGGATATAATGGGAGATATCAAGAGCAACATGACATATACATATTACAGTAATAATATATATATATATATAATATTTGGCAGTGTCTAAAAATGCAAGATACCCCCAACTGATCATTTGATGTGGAAACTGATTAGCCATTGGATTTTGGGGTGAACATGGGTGAACTATTTTCAGACAAATCATGACAAACCCATATAGATCAAAAACTGAGTATGGTTTATGATTAATTACTGTATTGATGTGTAAGAATGGAATTGGCTATTGGGCTTACCACAGCATTTTCCTAAAAACGCGGTATAAAATGGTATATATCAACATGTATAAACACAAACTACAGTATGTTATTCAAGAATCGATGTAGCGCAAACCAAGTAATAATGACTTATAATGACTTGTATGAAGGGGGATACCATGAGGACACGAGACTTATTCTGGGGTGATTTCACAAAAATTGCTGCGTGTCAGCAGCCAAGTGGGATGGGGATGAGCATCAATGATATACAATCAAATCTTAAACTTGGATGGTTGCTTACAGGTCTTGTGAATCTACTCCAGCATATTCATAGGAGTTCCCAACATGAATTGAGACAATCTCCAATATACTGGATAGTATAACCCCCTACTGTATAATCATCAAACAACAAGGGTTTTGAATACTGCTCAATCTTCATCTGTTTGTGCTAAAAAAAATGCTGAGATCTCCACCCCATAGCCAGTCTGCTGATAGCCGCGCAAGGCCTTGGCAGCCAGCGGGAATTTATCAAACATGGCATGGCCCATTTTTGAATTCCTCTTGGCACCCTTGGCACTCTTGGCACTCTTGGCACTCTTGGCACTCTTGGCACTCTTGGCACTCTTGGCACTCTTGGCACCTTACCTTAACATTCCCAACTTGTGAAATGCAAACAACTTTCCGGAGAGTTGTGTTTCGACAACATCCTTGCTTTTTACGGTCTGCAAAAATGGAAACTGGCAGAGCGGAACTCGTTTCCCACGCGTTGTGCGTGGCGATGCATCTACTAAGGTAAAAGATACTGCTGCAAAATCCAACACTCCCCCCAGGCCCCAAGTGTAGTATTATAATGTGGTAATCACAGCCAATCATGAGTAGCGACCTTATGATTGATCTGGTTGACAAACTTGCAGAGCAACTGCTGAACTATCACCTCACCATGTTGCTTAAGTTCCCCCTGTTGCCCCGTCAATTTAAATCCACGTGTCTGCTTGCAAATTCCACGGGTTTTCCACTGGTTGTTCCTTGAAATACCATGCTTTGTATAGTTGATATCCTGAATGCTGCTGGCAACGTCCAAAAATCACATGTGTTGGTTCATCCACTTCATGATCATTATAATCATTATGATCATTATGATCATCATTTTCATTACTAGTACCATCACTGCTGCCGCCGCCACCACCATCACCATCACCATAATCACAACCATCATCAGAACTATGACTATGATCAACAACTAGTATAATTATATATAATATATATATATTCTGAATTATGATTATTAATTATCATTAATTATTAATCATTATGTTGCAATATATTGTATTATTTTGTATTGTATTGTACTATAGTATATTACATTATATAATTATCATTCATTATCACGAATCATCAGTAGCTTTGTTCTTGTCTGTGGATTTATCATTCACATCCAGCCTTTCGCCCAGCGACACGCGAGCCGATGCCACGAAGGTCTAAGGCCTGAACGGCGTCAAATTGGAGATTTTGCGCGAAAAAATCAGGGATTTCAAAGAATTTATGGGGATACCCTCCGGTAATCTAACATAGCTGTGGAAAATCACCAAATGGGCCATTTGCAATAGCTATGTTAAAGTACCAGAGAATAAGATAGGAATTGATAGGGAAGAATCTCCATGTACAACTGGTGGATTTTTTGGAATGAAATGGTGAAGATATGCGCCATGTATGCTACATTTCTCTACATATGGGTGTTTTATGGTGTCAATGCTTGCAAATCTTCTGCAGCATCGTGGTCGGCATGGGACATCCCTGCTTTTGAAGTCAGCTTCCCAAATCAAGGGTCCCTTCAGCCATCATGTTGACAGTTTTTTTGTTTTCGGGGGCCTTTGAAAAACCATGGACGCTCTCCTATGCTTATGATTGTCGTTCATGTTTAAATGTCCATGTGCCTTCCGGTCATTAAACATATGAAACATATGAATGAAACATGACCCATTTCCAGATGACATACATTACCCGTTAAAACCCATAAAAAAATAAAAAAATAAAAACGTCGTTTTCAAAAACCATGTGTCAAATTGCTTAAGGGCGATGCCCATCTTCCCCATTTCATCACACCTATAAATCCCCAATGCTCACCTTTTCATATCCTCTGGTCATTTTACAGTGTGCTATTGAAAATGGCCCTAGAATGCCATGTCGAAATAGTTGATTTATCTACAACATCTACTACAAATGGGTGATTGTCCATAGCTTTGCTCTTAGTTTACCAAACAGTCGACTGTTGAGAAATCACCGAATCGCACCCTTTGTTCGCGCACCTGCAAGCCCCCCGCTGTCCAGTGCGTTGCTCCACCGGTCAAGAACCAGCCCAGCGCCGTTTTGTCCACGCCTCCGAAGGGCGAGGGACTGGGAGCCAACAGATCTGGTTGGGGTCCGTTGTTCAACACAATACCCATAGGATCCATGTATGGTATATATGCTAACATTTGGGGTATATTGATGGTAAATGTTACCATATATAGCATACATGGATCCTATGGGATATGGACCAAACTTGCGGTTTGAATCTCGAATGCGTATCTATGATTTGTTAGGTATGCGTTAAAGATTCTTCCAAACATAGATCCAAATTTTGGGCTGGTTGAGTAGAGCAAGTAGAGAAAGGTTTCAAATCAAAGTCTTGTCCAGGCTATGGAAAGGTATAGATCCAATCATGCTGTGAAGTGCTTCAAACAGTTTTGAGTTTTGGGGGATTCAGTAAGGCCCAAATAGGCCCAAGGCTGTCGAAAAAGACTTGGAACCCCAATCTGGGTGATCGTCATTTTCATTCATGTTCCATCATTTTCCCATCTCCCATGGCCATATCTTGGTGGTAAAAGTAACTGTAAAATCCCCACAAAACCCACCTGGTGGACACCTTTTTTCTTCAACCAATATGGCTCTACTCTCCCGCGATTTCGCTACCACTTTCTTGTGATTCACGGCCCTTCACCACGTCAGCCAGCGTCACTGCTGGAGCTCATTGCACTAGACGTTTCCCTGGCGCAGCTGTGGCGAGCCAACGTGCGGACCAATGGACCCAAATGTGGTGATGTTTTGAAAAACGAAGTATTGCGAAGTAATTATAGTAATTAATAGTAAACAATCCCAAAATGGAGATCAACAATTTTCAGGCTATGGCGGCAATACCCATCTAGAAAAATTATGCAGCTTCATGGAAAAAAATGGATTGTTGCCAATGCCCAACGGGTAAATAGAGGTTTCACTTGGGGAACGGGTAAATGAATGTAAATGAGTTTTTGCTGAACCCTTCCGAGAAGGCACTTGGATTTTTCTCAAGGATCCGAAACATTTCTCTGAAAGCATCAACCTTCAATGCCGTGCACCGGCGTGGGCCTCTGCACCTTCGGGAACTGAGTTCATGATGTCAAAGTCGTAACCGATGCGAAGATCTGATTCTGCACATCTGGAGGCAGCATCGATAGGAGTCTGTCTTGGTTCCGCCTTAGACTACACCATCACTCATGTTCAACCCTTCCAAAATGCTCGGCCAACAAACAAGAGACATCAGTTATGTTAATGATATCAGGAAGTAAGATTGTGGTTTTCCACAGTTTTCCACAGCCCACGAAACCCGAACGTTGGACATCTTTGCTCGATTCAACCTTGAAGGTTTGAACCCTTGAGGAAAACAATCAAGAGTGCGCGACTATTGGATGGCTTGTTCGTGCCAACATTTTTCAAAACTTGTATCTTCGCGGAATTTCAACAGTTCCCGAGTTTGTCCAAGGTGCCCCAAGTGTTTGGTAGAAGTACAATAACATGACTCCGGAAAGTACAAACATCCCCAAACCAACACCAAAACCTGCCAATTGTGTCCCTCTTTGACCACAGCATCTCCTAGTCCCTCAACGGCGACAGAACGGTCTTTTGTATTTCTTTGAATTTGTTCGGATATTTGTCTTAATAAAATCAAGAAATCATAGCAAATCAAATCAAATCAACATACATCAACATACATCAACTTTCAGAATACTTTCAGCTATCTCAGCTCAAAAAAATCCTCAACCCCTCCATCCCTTTCCAGCGAAGGCTCCCTGCGGGATGCGGCAGGCGTCCGTAGTCCTTAGGCTCCCCGTGGACCAGCGACGTCGTCCAGCTCTTGGGGCCCATGGTCTTCGGAAGCCTCAGCTTTTTGGCCCTGGTGGAGCCACCCGCCGAAGATTGGGATTCAACAATTTTGAATCGGGAACTTTAACAATTAACCTGGCAAAATCATGAACGGCTGAAAAAATGATGGGGATTTGATTCATTTCACCACTCAAAAACAGGAACTCATCAACAACTATGATAATAAATGATAACAATAAGTTTCAAGCGGAACATGTACAGTCAAACGACAAACTCATGCCTAACTCATGCCTGGGTCAAAACTTGCTAGGAAATCACCATGGAATCGATGTTTCAAGAAACTCACGCCTAAGTCATGGCCAAATCTTAAAACACAGCGTTTCCAAATGAAGCTTTCTCTTGAAGCCATTCTGAAACAGCTGCATTTGGGCTCCCAGGTGAACAATGCAGAGCCGGGGGGGCTTCACTGGTGACCTGCCCATGAGAACATCATGTGTTCTTTGAGGTGGATTGTTGTTCGGTATACGGTATTCTCCCCCAGTTGAAAGGCCAAATCCCATAGGTAAAACCTCATGTTTCTTTAGTTTCATGTTTTACCTATTAGTTTAATAAGTAAAAATCCCATAGGTAAATCCGATGTGTTAACGATGTTTTTGTTCATCTATGATGTTCTATGACTTTCAAGAAAGTCATACGAGATTTGGGCGCTGACAAGGGACATCTCGTCAATGAAGGTCTCCTGGCAAGGTAAACCATGGGGATACGATGAACATCGATGAACCATTGGCGATGGATGGATGAACCATGCGATGGGTTGCTTGGGAGTTTGGATATTCATCGGATTCCACTCATATAAATCGGATAAATGGGAGTATCCACTGCAATAAGCAACAAGGTTTGCTTTGATGCTGGTCACTGCTCACCTCCTTGTCAGTGCGAATCGTATTCAGAGGTAGCTGGATAGTTCAATTGCTGAAAGAGATGACACGCAAATGGTCCCTTGACGCCCTTGCATGCTCTTCTTCTTTCACCAAATTCATCATGTGGCTATGAGTCAAAACCCTGGTACCTAGTGAACCCCAAAATAGCTGGTAAATGGATGTTCATCCCATTAAAAATTGTATTAATAGGTATTGATCCATACCCATGTTAGCTCTCAGAAGGCGAATGCACTGGCTGATGTCTGGAGATTCATGGCATTTTATGGTTAATCTTAGAGTCTCAAATGCCCTTCAAAAGAAACAAATCTTTAGCTGGAACAGCGGTCCCCAAAAAAAAACAATACTATCAAACTTGTTATGTTAATATTAATGGTGTGAATATTAAACAATACTATATCAAACACTATTAAATGATTGTGCTATGTGTTTTTGGGTGTTAATATAAAATAAATGGTTCAAATCCCTTGGTTGATTTCTTTGTTGCTCATATTGTTCCTTTACCATCTGGTAATTCAACGTAGCAATGGACAATCTCAATTTTCTAGCTAAATCATGGATACATTGGATTATTGTTTATTAGATCATTGGACATGTTCCAGAGCAAACTGTTAAATTACCAGAGGGTACAGGGGTGTAATTACAATTATATATATATATCCAACATGTATAGATTATTTTTTTCTGGTAAATTTGGGAAGTGAATGGAACTGATTTACCATTTTCCGGAGAAAAACGACCTCCAGTTTGGTCCACAAATGTCCAATTTGAAGGTCGCCGCCCTAGCCATGCACCGCCGCCTCTCCCATGGTCTGAATCAGATTCTGCAGCTCTGCACGCCACTGAATCCAATGGGAAAAGAGCCGCTGCCAGAAGTCCTGCGCTTTCCTGGAAGAGCCACTGACATCCAAGCTATGGCTGGTTGGTGGGGGCCAACCCTACCCCTCTGAAAAATGATGGAGTGAAAGTCAGTTGGGATGATGACATTTCCCAATTTTGTGGGAAAGTCATAAAACAAATGTTCCAAAACACCAATCAGATGGGAATACAATGGGGTTATGGGTGTAGAAGGGAATATACTTGTACGAATATACGAAATATACAATGGGATGTGAGGAGATATGATAGGAGATAGTGGGGTATAGTGATATGTATTTATATATAACTTTATAACCAACAGTGTAGCAGTATGACCACTTTGCCACGCAAAGGAGTATGCATTTCCTTGGTTTTGCTTTCAACTCTGTTTATACCCTTTGCTGGGCATAGTGGCGTAGTGGCATTTGAACTTGTCTTATGGTGACAAAAGGGTCAACGTGCCAGAGCCAAAAACCACAGCTACAAGTTTTACTCATCTTTAGTCTTTGCCAGGGCCATGTATGACCCACCCCTGATTGACATCACCTGTCTGGCTTTCAACCACTGGCCGACAGGTGGCAACTGCAGTATATCCACATGACTTGCCACGTTCAACTTTGGCCATCTTCCAGTGGATGATTCATCTACTTTGCTAGCAACTAATGATTGGCATGTCAATGACAACGGTAAGTCCCTCGATTGGGGATATTCCACAGTCCATACTTCATACGCGAACTGGGATGAACGCCCACATACCTAGGGCATCCTAGGGCCATCTCTGGCTTTTATGCATCCTCCCCCAAATCACCACACAGCCCCGCGCCCAACCCTCCAAGTATCTCAATCTGCTCCGGCGTGCTGATGGCATCACCGGCTAAATTCGCTGGCACCCTGCCCAGAGCGCTGTAGAGTAGCGGCACAAAGCACCAGGATTGCGTCCTTGGCCAAGCAGCATGGTCTAGGGAATATTCATAAATCATTCCCCACTTAAGGCACTTCAAAGCAATCCTGAAGCTACCCTTTAGATCCCTTTACCAACTTACGGAGATGCCAAAGATTCTTTGGCAATTTCTTGTTGCAGTTTCCGGCCACTCGCAGACCGACTTCTTCAAAGCCTGGGACGTCTTTCCAGCCGTCCACACCTGTGTCCCGGGAGGAAAAATGGAGTCTGGAAGCAAAGATGATAAGAACATGAGGTTGAAAATTCATTTATGCTGTATTGAACATATGGGTTTGTCTGAGTCTGAAAATGGGGAATCTCTGAATGTATCTAAATGTTAAATCCACTCGTTAACCGTTATCTTCCTATTTACGGGAGCCAAGGCCACATCATCCCACTGAGGCACCATCAAAAACGCCATATGTGTAATGACCCAAATAGGAGAAATCACATATATATATATATTGCCACAACGGATAAAATTACATATAAAAACCATATAAATGATATACATATATTGTGTAGTGTAAAACAAATAGCATACATGGAAATTTATGTATAGGTCCTATAGGTGTCAACTTTGTAATAGAAATATGTAATCCATCTACTTAATGAATGTTTGATAAATATTGAAAAATATTGATAACTATTATCCATACATACTACAGTATTTTTCCATAGTGTAGTCTTGGTGTATCACCAGGCCACAAATACGGGAGCCAAGGCCACATCATCCCACTGAGGCACCATCAAAAACGCCATATGTGTAATGACCCAAATAGGAGAAATCACATATATATATATATTGCCACAACGGATAAAATTACATATAAAAACCACATAAATGATATACATATATTGTGTAGTGTAAAACAAATAGCATACATGGAAATTTATGTATAGGTCCTATAGGTGTCAACTTTGTAATAGAAATATGTAATCCATCTACTTAATGAATGTTTGATAAATATTGAAAAATATTGATAACTATTATCCATACATACTACAGTATTTTTCCATAGTGTAGTTTTACCCAGCAACAAGGTATTGATTCCCCATGCGTTTTTTTCAGTAATCCACATTACAACAATTCTCCATAATTTACACAATCATCGATACAGTAATCAACATGGTTTGTCGATTGATTCTTCTGTAGAAAATACACTAATCTGGGTAAATTGTAATATTTCACTAACCTCATGAATTGATTCTGTACTATTGATTTGTCGATTGATTCTGTATAAAATACACTAATCTGGTGATTTCTGTACTATTGATTCTGCGGCCATGTGCGGAAAGATTGCCCGAATCCTACTCATGATTCCAGTGAGATCACACAGAGGTCACAACAGAATGTCCCCAGATGTATATAATTAGATACATATCATAGTTATATTATGTTATATTTATATTTAGAAACCTCCATTTTCTGATCAATTTCTATAGGTTTCAGATACATTCCCATAGGATTTCTCCATGTGTTGCTTTTTTTGCTGAATTAATAATTATTGCATCATATCAATCAAACAAACAAACAGTATGATACAATATCAATTGATCAAGAATTATCATATCATGATTGCTGATTATTCTACAATCATCAATTAAATCAATTAACAAACATCGAGCCAAACCAACCACCACGCCACTAGCCTCGCAAGCTAAAGCGCCCCCGGCTGGGACCGCTGGGACCGCTGGGACTTTTCTCGGGGCTTCGCAAGCGCTTCATGGCTTTGATTCGGAGTGGCTGAAATTCTTGCAGGAAACCATAGGAAAGCCTGGGTTTTACGGTTTTAGCTACTGAACATTGGCTTTCTTGTGTAGATGGCCACTGATTTTAGTTGGTTGACTTAGAGAATAAACATGAATAAACTACATGTTTTATATGTTTTCCTTTATTTTGTTGCGATGAAATGTTTGAGGTTTACCCTCCAGTAAACTGTCCAAATTGATATTGATGTCGGACATCCCACCAGAAATGTAGGTTATGTATGGTTATGTATGGTTATGTTCCTTTGGAAACCGTCTTCAATATAATATCCCATAATAATCAAAGAGGTAAATAAACATTGTCAATGCTTGAATAGAAGCCTCCAAAATCAAACAATCATCAAACATGCTTCTGACATGCTACACCCTCCAGTTGCAGCCTTTTTACAAATGGGATAACCCAGAATAGATACACAAACTTATATCATCATTTAATTATAGTATATCATATAGTTATAGTTATAGTGATGTTATAGTTATAGTTATAGAACACAGAAAATCATGGTTGGTCACTCTCTGACTGAAGCAAGCAACCAGGTCACTGTATTGAGACATGTTTACCAAGTCATGCGGGTTCCAAACAAACAGCAGAGATGTCCTGCTGTTGGCGCAGAAAGTTGGTCATCTTGAGATGTCATGATGCAACTGACTCTGCAAAACAGAATTGCCTGAAGGGGTCACACAGTTGGCATCAGTTGGCCCCCTCTTATTGTTTGTCGCCCTTAAATGTTGCAACGTGACACAGCCAAGCATATCTGCAAACTGCATCCATGAACATTTCAAGCTGCCAATCCTGAAGGGCTTTGTATTAGCTATCATGTGCTTGGGAATATATAGGGAACATGGATACCCCGAGCTGTTAGTATGCTGCTAGTGTTTGTTTAGTTCAAACGCTACGTGTGAACCGATTCCTTCAATTCCCTGAATTGAAAAAGGCCAAGGCAGCATCCAACATTCCAACATTTTCCGATCGTCGGCACCTTGAAGGAGAAATGAAAATAAGCAGCAAACGTCATCAATCCACAGAGTAATTAATCAATCACTGGAAATCCTGTGGTTTGATGTTTATTCTAATCAATCAATTGATGTATTATCTCTATATATAATTTATATAGATCACCTTTGGTTAAGAATCACATCAATCAATGAATCACTGTCCTAAACACCAATCAACCAAAGAAATGATTCCTCTACCTCCTGACAGGAATATTCATCGCTATGAAACGATACACTATAATCGCAACCAACAGCGGTTCTCTTCTCTGCTGCAGCTGAAAGAGGAGGTTGAAAGAGGTTGAAAGTGGATTTACAACATCGCTACTCTTGTTTAACATGACTGGCTTTTGAAGGAAACAAACATGTTGAATTTATTTAGGATGTTCACCTACTGTACGCATTTTTTGGTTTTTGTTGAAAGGCCCATTCCAGACCGTGCTTTTCTGCATATCCTGCCTTCCAAAGTCAGTGCATGAAGGGTTTCCAAGTCGCTCTGCAACTCCTCACGTACCAGCAGAATTTTCAGACCCCGTGATTGAAGGTTGTATTGATCCCAACACTCAAGACACAAGCTGGTTGGTGGTTTCAACCCCTCTGAAAAATATGAAAGTCAGTTGGGATGATTATTCTAGCAATTTCTTGCCCATATTCCAGGGCCGAACATATTCCATGCCAAAATAGCTGGGAAATTTCAGGGAATTGCGAAGACCCCTTTCAGGTGAAATTTGTATTTCACACAGTTTGCCAAGTACTCCTTTTCTTCTGGCACGTACGTTGTCGACTGCACATGTTCTTCCGCAAAGAAGATCCTTACTTTCAACAATTTCTGGAAATGTCATAATTAGTAATGTTGAGCTTTCCAAAAATGGATTAATAATGTTCTTATGGGAATTTGTCATCTACACTTTTCAGGATCTCAAAACCCAATTCATAAGCTTTAAGCTTATGTTCTGGCACGCTTGGCTGGCCTTTCACCAGCAGCGCCATCCCCATCTTTCTTGACATCTTTGTGGCCCCGCAAAGAGCCCTGCACAATAGGATCTCGGAACACAAATCATCGACGATCCTGTTTTCTTCCGTGCAAACTAATTCCACCGATAGAGTACGATGCCACCCCTGGAGTGCGCTAATTTTCTGGAATGCGAAAATAAAACAGTATGCGTGGCCCCCTTCGACCTTCCCCATGGATCCAACACCAGTTTTTTCCATCATATACCAGAAAATTATCACATTTCACCCTGCTGAGGTTTTTTTTTCTTTTTTTTTGGGGGGTCATTTTTGGCCAAAATGGCCTGGAATGCGATAGTATGTGAAACTACAGACGTCTCACGCGAAACCGCTACCTTGCCCATATTCCAGAAAACGTGATTCCAGGCGATTTTAGCAAAAAAAAAACGAAAAAAAAAAAACGAAAAAAAAAAACGCAAAAAACGAAAAATCACCGAGTACGAAGATTTTATGGAGTGCGAAGATCTTGCAGAGTGCGTGGATTTTATAGTATGTGCACGTCCCTAGCTGTGGAGTGCGATGCCCTCGCTGGAGTGCGAAGAATTTGTGGAATGCGAAGAATTCCGAGTATGCGTGGCTGGTATAGAGACCACATAGGGAAATTTCGGGGCCAGAACCAAAATTCCAATCCCAAAGCCAGCCCAAACTTCCAGGGGCACACCAGTGGGTTCTATTTTTCCGAGTTCACCTTGGGTGAGGCCCCGGGGAAGAAACTTTCTAATTTCTACTCAGCCAACCTTTAAAAACGTTACCCTTTGACAACCCTGTCCTTCTTCGGTAGACAAATGAAGAAACTTCCTTATCAAAGCAGCCTTCAATTCATTCAACGTCCACAGCTGCTTTGGAACGACATAGGGGATAGAAAGCTGTGGAGGGGCATTCAGTGGATTCGCCGTGGCCCAACTGTTCCCTCCAGATTGAGCTGAAATGCCTATCAAAGTAACATACCAAAACCCAGGTCTGGAGTACGATGAAAACATGGTATGCGAAGATTTTCTGAATATGGGAATGTTGCCTCTAGAATTATTCCCAATATACAGTATGGAAAAATAAAAAAGTTCCAAACCACCAACCAGGTACGATGGTACAGGTAGAGTACTTAGACTACGCAGGTAAAATATGGTAAAATGACATGTTCCCCCTTTGTGGTTGTGATTTGCCTACATTTTTTGTGAATCATAAACTATGTCCCATCATCATCCCATTGTCATAACCCCCCACAAGAAGTTGGAAACCCTGGAAATCATGACAACACAACACATCATCAACCATCATCATCATCAACTAGTATTGAAATCCCATGAACAACAATGAACAATATACGGTAACTACATTTAAATATACGGATTCTTAAATATACAAAAAAATGTCGTTACCGTAATATTTCCAATCATTTTAAATCCTACATTCACCCCGAAACCTTGGTGGCGAACTACCCACGAATCAGTAAGTGGCTTAGTTCACCCCAGTTATAAATGGGATTTTTGTAGGCTTAATCCACATCAATCACTGGGGTTATAACCCACTTATAGTGGGCCCATGCCTCCGACGCCATGAGCTCGGCGAGGCCGCGCGCGGAGGCGCACATGGAGAGACCACCCCGAAACCTCGGTTGCACCGTTGTGGGTTTCGCGATGGAGTTTTAATGGGATCATGGCATGAAAATGGCATGAAAATGGGATGAAAATGGGATTTTATGATGGGATTTTATGATGGGATCTAATAATGGCATGAGAAATGGGATTTGATGATGGATTTGAGTGGGATCTTGTCATGGCATCTGAGAAATGTTTCGAAATTGCAATTTGAATTGTAAGAATTTGTAGAAGATTGTCGATGTTCCTGCAAAATAAACAAAACACATGTCGTATTTTTGCTACATAGGGATACCGTTTCTCTTCAGATTCAGAGTTGTAGATCATGTTTAAACTTGCATGACACCTTATGCATTAATTTCATGCAGTACGCATCACTGGCGACGATTAAGGGATTGAGTTAACTTACGCAACAAATGTAACGGAACACTACTGAAACTAATGATAAGTGATGATGCATGCTGATCATTGCTGTATTAGCTAATGACAATAATAATAATTGTAAATATATGTTTAGATTTTGTTTAAATATATGGTTGTTGTTTTATAATGTTATTTATATACATATATGCATGCAAAGGTATAAAATGGTTGAAATTACTGATTCCATGATTGGGGATACTGTCATAGCCATAGCTTACATACCCGGAATAGCTCCTTAGTATCTTTTGAAGTCTCCAAAGTCAAAAATCTGTGGAACAAGTTTCAAACACGCCCAATTATAAGCATTATTATCCGAAGTGTGCATCATGATTTTGCATGATTTGGACAGGATCAAGAAAATCAGGACGTGGAATGATCGTGAATGATCTAGGTCAACCAGGCCTGAGGCCTGAGGCCTGCCTCCTAAGGCCCCACACAAACCTCCAGCCCCGGCATTGCCCTGTAGAGGGTCGAACCTAAGCCGTGCCCCAACATCGTCTGTGCAAGATGATTGAACTACTTCAAATTCTCCAAAATTAGCAAAGCAAGGGATGGAGAAAAACAACCTAGAAGAAGGGGGCAGGGATCCCTGTCTACACCAAGCGGTTCAAAATGTTGAAAATCACCCTCAAGGAATAGCAAATCTTGTGGTAAATTCGACAATCTATGTTTTTTGTTCGACGATCTAGGGGCTCCGACACCAGCGGGTCCTGAGCAATGGCCTGAGTGCAAAAATGCTGAAAACTGTTTGTGCAAGTCATCATTAATCAATGAATATTAATGACTATTAATGTATAATTGTATACATACATACATATATATATATATACAGACAATTATGATCATGTGTCTGTGCAAAGGTAGACATGAACGAAGAGAGAGAAGAAAGAGAGGGAGAGAGGGAAACAAGTATGTTGAGTGCTGCTACCATAGCTAACAGACCCTCGCTTGGAGCATGTACTATCCATCATTTGTGATTCACTAAACTAAACCCAAAACAAAATATAAACTCCAAGAGCCCAAAGATGCCTGAAGGATTCTAAAGGTGTGTCTGAAAATTGGATAGAATTGGTCAGACCACTTAGTTTTCAACTTGGGTATGGTTATTTCATTCATCATTGTCCTTACCACATGTGCCATCTTGAAAAAACTACTATGTGTCATGGTCATCCATTCCTGACTCAGTCAACCCAAGTTTTATTCAGTTGATGGCAATACCCTCTGGTTATTTGTTACATAGCCATGGTTTTTCGATGGCCCTAATCGAAATAGATGGAGTTGACCTTCATGACCATCCCAGAACATCCAGCCATAACCTCCGCGACTGGTGCCTGTAAGAGATTCCGCGGGACTCGAGCCTTCCAAAAGAGCACCGGAGGAAGAGATTTGGCCACTGGAACCCTCCAGAATTTAGCAAAAAACGGCACCTATTGATAGATAATCATCCAACATCTATGTCATGAAAAGTTGGAATTGCGCATTGCCACGTGGAAAATCACCATGCTAGGTAGATCAATGTTGCAAACAATTATATGGAAAATCATTGCAATACTCAGCCATACCTTCGATGCATGGTATCTATACCAAAAGTTATACCTAACATGATCCATTAAATATCCATAACCTATAGAGAAAAAACAGATTCATGCGTGGATGGAATATGGATACTGATATATTATATAGTTGTCCCAAGTTGTGAAGTCCAAATATACAGCGGATGCACACATTTTCTGGAGGTGCCATACATTGAATTCGAGTCTAATTGAATCTCCTGCATCCCTGATCTTTTCACCGAATCCATGGAGCAGCTCTCTCTCTCTCTCTCTCTCTCTGGCAAATCCAAGGAAACTGGCGCTCATCCTAATGGATATCATGTTACGCCTTGTTACCAGACAGCAATCAACCGACTCACCCAACATGCCTTCACCAAGGGTTATCCCAATCTCCCCCTTATCTATCCGGTTCAACAAAGCCCTTGGTGATGCCACCTTAAGCTCCGCTTAACCACAACCTTCAGCCACACCTGAAACAACTAATCCAGACTTAACATAACGACCTCCGACAGCTTTTGATGCAAACATGTGGATACACCAAATCTCATACTTGAATGTGCAACCCAGTTAGTAAGTCGGTAATAACCAATTATCCCCCAGTATACCCCAGTCAAATATTATGGGTTCCATACAGGTTGTGGTTTACAAACCGCATCATATATGCCCGTATATGCCATATAGAACCCATTGTGGCTCTATTCATACTTGTGCCTTTGTATACATACATACAAACCGCAGTTCCGAGTTATACATCTATATATAGTTTTATATAGTTCATATGCACGCATACAATTATTATGAATTATATATCGTTCATTACAATTAACCATGTAGCTGTAATTTATTATGGTTTGTAAAAAATATATATATATATAATATGCAACTATATAAGATAATATAAGACTGTATATATATATGTATATAATAAATACCCGCAGGCCGGGGGTGCCGCCCAGAGGTTTATCATGGGACCAACTCCTTAATTTTTTTTTGGGCTTCATTTGTTTTTTGTTGTGCTTTTATCAAGCCTTTAATAAGATTTGATGTCAAGGCTTACTGAGGGTTTCATGTCAGATTTAGGTTCATTCTAGGATTTAGGGTTTTGTGGTTTGGAAACAAGTCCCCTCAAGTTGCCATGTCACCGACATACCAATCTGCAAAAAACACCGGTCCTGCGCAGTTTTTTCATCCACGAACCGCCGTGTAAATACCAAATATAATCCACAATGGTCTATGCAATGACTTGGATCTATAATGGTCTATATATTGTATAATCATTATATAATCTATATATCTATATAATATCTATATATATATATATTATATTAATTTATAATACCATATAATCGTCCAAATATACCCTCGCCTTGGCCCGCGAGCTAGTCGAGCTGTCAGCCTCGACTTCGCCCTCGGACGCCTACGAGGTGGTGATATGGAAAATGATGGAACATACCCTCTGGTAAACATACATAAGTTTGGAAAATCAATGAAAATCACCAGTTTTTAATAGGTAAATCAACTTTAAATGGCAATATTCAATAGCTGTGCTAGTTTACTAGAGGGTATGAGTGAAAAATGGTGGACAATTGTGAGGAGTATGGCAATTTACGGAAACAATGTGGAAACAACCCTGGAAACATATGTACCGTAAAATATGCCCTAATGCTCAAAATATACCCTCTGAGAATGGTGTTTAGACACCAGAAACCAAGCCCGAAGTGTAGTAATTCACTGACCTGAACATAGCTGAAATAAGGCAAATTGGGGATGATTCCCCATCATATTGTATAATTAATAGGTGTTGATCCATTCCTAGGTAAGCAAAAAAACTTATTTAAAGTCTTCCAACTTCACCCATTATCCTAGCCATGAAATCTCAAGTGTGACGCTGAGTTAGATTCCCATTTAATGTCATTTGTTCTGATGTCTTGACGCTTAAATCATGTTGAAATTGTTGAACTTTGTTTACAATATTTGAATCAGTCCTTTCCCCCCCCCAAAAAAAAAAAAACACGCCCACTGGAACCCCGGTTTGGTATTCTGGATCCTAGCCTTCTGCGTTCGCCGGGAACGAGCAGCCTTGACCTACCGAGACGCAGTGAAGCAGTCCGTATAGCAACCACCCCAAAAAAATAGGAAAACCCTTTCATTGGTAGGATTGCATCCACTGTTCGATCGTTGTGGTTACGAAATACTATCTTTCCCAATTGTCAAGGTTCAAACTGTTCAATTTTCAACCTTTCAAAAAACAACAACGCACCTCAAGAATTGTCAAAGACCCTGCGCGGTATGGTGGGAGGTCCATGGCAGGGTCAACCCACAGCACCTCCTGGAGCGACACCCGCGCCAAATCTGGCAAATCTCGGCCTAGGCGCTGGGATCCATGGGTGAATTGTTGGGTTTTTAGTTGGGTAAATATATCAACAGTTGGTAGGGGTTTTAAAATGTTATAAAGCAACTTATAATTGGTGGCCCCATCTGGTGAATAGATGTGCATAGTATATGTTTGAACAACTGGACTTTCTTCCAAAATTCAACTGGCCTCTGGCTGTCCAAGTGCAACTTTGTATATCCATCACTTCATCGTCCGTTTTGGGGATCTGCCGTTCAGGACATGTACATGTACAGTCATACAGTATATATATATATTATTGTATTATGCTATTTCTGATTGGTCATTTCGTCTTGTGCTGGTACATACCCGCAATTAATATAATACCCTCGATCAAGGTTTATATGAGATGATATGATATATTTGATTGATAGATGTCACAGCCATGTGTTCCATCTGTTGAATATCAAAAACATTTAACGCAACAAAATACCCAAAAGTCGGTAAAATTGTTTGAGTGTTGGTAAAATCATTTTTTTTATATACCATATACCATTGCTAAAACCATTTGAATACTATAATTCTAAATTGGCTCCATTTGGTTCCATTGGTAAACCCGTTCTATTAGTATCTATCTATATCTATATATCTATATATCTGAATATCTATATATCTATATATCTATATATCTAATATATCTAATATATATATAATACTATCTATCTATCTAATACTATCTAATAATATCTATCTATCTATCTATCTATCTACCTACCTACCTACCTATCCATCTATCTGTCTATCTATCTATCTATCTATCTAATGTATATATCTAATATATCTGAAATATCTATCTAATATATCTAAAATATCTATCTAATATATCTAAAATATCTAAAATATCTATCTATCTATCTATCTGTCTATCTATCTACCTATCTATCTATCTAATCTAATCTAATCTAATCTAATCTATCTATATGGGTAAATTATCATAATTCACTAACCTGAAACTTGCGGCCATTTTGGGCATGATTTCCTTAGCGATCAAAAAAACCCATGGATTTCCAGGCGCCCAAGAGCTGAGGCTCCAAACATACGCTGGCTTCTCGACCCCCTAAGGGTGCAACACTGGTGAAGTGGGGAGTAAATATGAACAACAATAACTAGGCAGCAAAAACTGGTGTTTAACTCCAATTTCACTTATGATTTGTTGATACTTATATATAATATATGTTGTAACTGTAGCTATTGGGGTTACAAAGTTATAAATCCTCTTCGGAGAACTCTTATACCTCCAATAACTACGTATAGGTACTAAGGCTTGTAAACCAAACTTATCACTGGGGACCCCATATTGTATGATCCCTCCGGCTCAACCATTGAATAACCCCCTTAGAAACCCTTGCATCTATTTCATCTGGCTCCATCACTCGGGGCATTCAATATTGCGGGATGGGTTCAATCAAAATATGTGTTTGAAACCAGGAACCGTACACCCCAATCATTGATGTTTAAATCCCATCTTGCTAACGCCAGAAAACCCGAAGATGTGGTATAATTAGTGGTGAAGAAAAATTGTAAGAACGGGAAATGTACTTTTCAAATTAATTGGACATAAAATTGGGGGATTCATTTTCCACACCACGGCTGAAGTGCAGGCTAAAGCTCCATTAATATCAATGATTGAATGCTTTTGTTTCAATGCTGTGTAGACTTAAACGTCCACTGCGTTTTATTATCTAATTGAACACAAAAAACAACTCATTGTTTCCCTGTTTGATTCACTATCATGTGGCTGGGAACACTTAGTAGTTCCTGGACTCCCCATTCTCCTTGGGATTATGAATATGTCCATAATTCAAAAACTGCTCCCAACCACTGAATACTTCAAATTCAACCCACAATTACAAAAAACACCATTTAATTTCACATCATTTACCTTCTGGTAAACATAGAAAAAACTATTGAAAATCACCACTTTGAATGGGTAAATCAATTATAAATGGCCATTTTCCATAGCTATGTAACAAATTACCAGAGGGTAACCAGTTTTCTACTTTTCAATCTCAACATATTTCAACCACAATTTCACCACTTTTTTTTTCCAAGATGCTGCCCGCGGGTAAGGCCACGTCCAGACCGCAAGGGCCCAGCTCCGCGCCCAACCAATGGAGGAAGTCGTCCTGGGAAAAATGGGTGGTTGAATCATGGGGAATTCACCCTGGCATAAACCTCCATAAACCTCCAAGTTTGGAGGGTTTATACTATAGCACCCATTTGAATATCCATTGATCCATGTTTGGCTGAATAGTTGGTAATCAGAGATTCGTCACTTTTCCCAAGACTTTTGAGTAGTTGAAGAAGTACTTCCTGATGTACCTCCAATGTTGGGCTTATTTTTGGCTTTACCGTACTAGTTGTTTCGCCCCCCCAAATCTGATGGTTGTTCTTGGGGGAAATCCCGTGTGCCCTGGTGACCCGTGGTACCTGGTACCATCCCAAGGCCAATTGCATGGGTAATATGTAAAATACCCCTTAAAATTGTCAAACATCTGTGGTCACATTGGCAATATATATATATAATTATATATATATAATTATATATATATAGTATACATCATGTATATGACAGCGGGGGGAAAACCGCGCCAGCGTTTTGACCGTTTTTGAAAACACACATTCTGTATCCGGTACATGCACATCTGACGTTACGTCACTGGGTTGGGGGGGTGGGGATGTTAACGTTCATGTTAACTTGCGACACATGCACATCTGACGTTATGTCACCGGGTTGGAGGGGGTGGGGATGTTAACATTCATGTTAACTTGCGTCACATGCACATCGGACGTTACGTCACTGGGTTAGGGGGGTGGGGATGTTAAGGTTCATGTTAACTTGCGTCACATGCACATCTGACATCATCTGACGTTACGTCACTGGGTTAGGGGGTGTGAGGATGTTAACGTTCATGTTAACTTGCGTCACATGCACATCCGTTACGTCACTGGGTTAGGGGGGTGTGGGGATGTTAACGTTCATGTTAACTTGCGTCACATGCACATCTGACGTTACGTCACTGGGTTGGGGTGGTGGAGATGTTAACGTTCATGTTAACTTACTTTACGTCAATGGCGTTAGATGAACTCCAAGACCAAACGTCTTTTGGAGCTCACTGGTCGCGCCTTGAAGAACCGTATGGCGATGTAAGGTGGAAAAAAACACCGCGCACCTTTTCAGGAACAATTCCCTGTAAATTACAGGTCATCATCAACAAAACACTTCAAATTCCCGAAGAATTTTAAGCCTATGTTGGGGAATGAATCAGTAGTTTCGCTACGGCGAAAACGACATTTTTTCAAAACGCTCAAAATGCTGGCGCGGTTTTCCCCCCGACGGGATGTATATGATATAATTTCATTTGGCTGCCCGTGGACGTTTCCCAAACAAAATAGAATACCAATTACTCAAACAACCGAAATCAGCGATTCCCAGCGCCTGAATTTTTAAAGATAGCCGCCAACAATGATGTCGTTCATTCTTCCAAAAATATCTGAACATGGAAAATTACTTTCTTCGAGTGATCCCCACCCTTACACACTATTCTGGCATAGTTTCTGACATGCCATCTGGAAGTATTTATTTATGGCATATCATATTCTGACATTCTATCTAACACTCTTTCTGGCATATACTCTGACATTCTATCTGACATTCTTTCTATTCTGACATTCTTTCTGCCATCTATTCTGACATTCTTTCTGGCATCTATTCAGGCATTCATTCTCGCATTCTATCTGGCATCTGGTCTGACATTCTATCTGGCATTCTATCTGGCAAATATTCTGACATTCTCTCTGACATGGGTACTGCCCAACGGAAGAAGAAGGAGAAGAAAAAGTAAGGAAGGAGAAGGCAACTCCAATAAAATATAGAGACCCTCACCCGGCAGGTGGGGAAAAGAGCATAATAATACACAATAATAGAACATCTGGTTTGTCTGCCTGACTCTGACTGGGCCTTATCCTTTTCCCAGACCCGGCCACACCTGATCAGCTATGCAGCTCCCAAGCTTAGCGAGGACGAAGGACTGCAGGGATGGCAAGGGAAGGGCGCCATGCATCCTATGGTCCTGCAACTTTGGGGGACGACCAAGAGAAAAGAATGCTAAACAACAAAAAAAACATATTAAGAGAAACGATTATTTTAAAAAGAAAACACATATGCAACTTTGATGCAACCAACAAAAGCCATGCGAAGGCTGCACCATGTTCATCAATTGTCCGCATGTTCATTGCTGTGTCCACTTAATGAGGGGGTGCGTGTCTCTCAGGGGCTGGGGCACAGGCCGTCATGATGACATGTTGCACATGTTGCATGTTGATTAGAAAGCACTTTCCTTTTCAATAGGGGTTCCGCCCACATATGTTGTTTGTATGTCAATCTACAAATATGTCTAACTAACTAATATATATATATGGCGCCGGGTCGCCATGTCTATAGAGTCGATCTTCTGAAGCCCGAACCGGCTTCAAAAAACACACCAAGCGCCTGCAGAAGATAAGCATAGTGAGAATCCTCCGTGGGTTTCAGGATATCTTGCTCCAAATGAGCGACCTAAACAACATCCGCACTGCATCAGTAGCAGTCCAAAATTCAAGAAGTCTCAGCATTGTGTGCAGTACCGGCGCCATGACAGCTTCATCCTGCCACATGTTCCGCCGAAATCCCCAGAGAAAAACGCATCTCTTACAAGTAAGACTCTACCAGTCAGATTCGATCAAGGATTGCAGGATCTGCTTCTTTTTCAACGACTAAGTCATACCAACTCCAGGTTTCCGACCATTCCGTTCAGATCATCCAATGAACTTTGCTTGAAGTCTGGGGGGAATGCATCCTCGCGGGCAGGATCTGGGATGATCATCCCAAGTATGAAGGAATATACCTCCGAAATTTCTAAGCGCTCTGTCAAACTTTAAGATCTCCCATGCTCAACGGAAAAAAATCACCCAGCACATGGAACACGCTAGCATGCCTCGCATGTTTGCAACTATGTCTAGTTGTCCCACAATAGCTATACCTATCCTATGCAGGAGCAGAGAGAGCAAGGGTCTATATCCAGAAATATAATCATGTGATATCATGTGTTTTGATCATAGCATGGATTTTGTTAGTGTGTATCTCCGTTGTTCATCGTTTTGCTTGGTCAGCTGCCAATTTCGGTGGTTGAATCTTTATTCTGGAAAAGGTCCAAGTTTGACCCACACCCCACCAGAAACCATCTATCGCAGAACTAGTTTCCGTCGAACATTTATATGTTTGGCAATAGTTGTTTGATATGGAGGTTTCCTGAAATAGGTGTACCCCCAAACCATCCATTTATAGATGGATGTTCCATGAAATCAACCATCCAAACTTGGGAGTACCCCCAGCCATTAGGAAACCCCCCAGATGAGTGTGTCTGAAACTTGCTGGTTGGTGGTTTCAACCCCTGTGAAAAATATGAGTTCATCAGATTGGGATGATTTTTCCCAATATATATATATGGGTTTGTCTGAAAATAGTGTACCCCTAAACCCAATGGTTAATGATCATTATCTCTATTAAATGGCTATAATTGGGAATATACCCTATTTTCAGACAAACCCATATATATATATATGGAAAGTCATAGAATTCCATGGTTCCAAACCACCAACCAGCTTGGGTCCCACCAAATCCACGGGCCGGCCATGACAGCCCTCCTGAAGGCCCACGCGATGGCTCAGCAATTCAGCCAAGGTGATGTCAGGGTTGCAGCCGGAGAAACTCAGGCAGTGACTTCCGGTGAAAACGGCGGTGTTTTGTTAAGCAATCATGAGGGTTTAAGCATCCGACATCAGGGTCAGTAATATGGTTATTCATCATAGAGTTAATTTAGGTTAATAATGATTCATAAGGGTTCATAATGGTGATTAATGGTGATTAGCGGTCACTAGGAAGTCGCCATCCGATAATCAACCGTGGCTAGATGGGAAATCCTTAACAAATGGAGTTTTTCATGGAACATCTACAAATGTGGGTTTTCCAAAACCATGTTTGACTACCGAAGGGTAACCATAATGAGGAGCAAAGCATCAAACCTGGGGACCTGATTGACTTGAGTTGTCCAAAATTGATATGCCATAAGTTAGCCATAAGTGAAAATCTGCTGGTAAACAACAAATATCAAATGTCAATGTTGGCTCACAAAACACCCTATGTTTAGACAAACCCATTGGTTGATGACTGTCATCCAATACGCAGTTGCCAACGCCATAATGTTCATATGTATGTTGATGTAGTTCAATACTACTCAACACAGTGCAAATAAGTCCTTGCTGCTTTCTACTGGCTGGTTTCAGGGAAAAAAACATGTTTTGGCCATCCAAACCTGGTTGGTTTTCAAACCGATGCTGGTCATGGTTGGATGTTGATGGTTGGTTCATGTTGATGGTTGATGGGGATGTTAGTTGCCACAAAGCTGTTGATATATGGTAGTTAGTTGATAATGGTTGATTGATGGTAGTTAGTTGATGTTGATGGTTGAAGATTCTATACCACAAGTGCTATGGGCTGTACAACACAAGTACTTCCAACATCAGGGGAAGTAGCCGACCTATAGCTACGTCTCCCGCAAGTAACACTATTGGTGATAAACACATTAAACATCAACAACCACTACTAGATAATAAGGGCCAAATTTTGGCCATTTGATTATTGGCACCTCTGAGACACCTCTGGGGGTCGTTGAATCTCCACTCAACAACCCACCCAGCGAACGCAGCGATTCTTTCATCCTCGGTATCGCCTCGCGCCGCGAGGGCTGCAATCCGAAGTACTTCTGCGAACGCAATTTTTGTTGATACTGTTCATACATCTCCTGGGTTTGGGGGCGACAAAAACGACCAGGTTTGGGATTGGCTATGGTCATGTCAGGATTCAACCACACCGTAGCGAGGCCAGAGGATGTTGATCCAGGTGTAGAAGGTAGCCCAATAAACATGACGAAGGCAAAAAAGTGAGATTGGACTGGACCTAAATTATATCTTATGATTGATCACCCCCACGCTTCACTATGTTATACCAGCAAATCACACCTGAAAAAATGTTAAAACGGCTACCATGGCGAGTTTCAGCCAACGAAAGGTAATGTGAACCTGGCAGCGGCCACGTCTTCATAGACAGCAACGGAATCGACAGCGTCTCACCGATCAATGTAAGGACTGGCCGCTGATCATGGGCAGTTTCCTCCTCATCAAAACAGGTCCGCCATAGTTTTTGAGTTTTTTTGTTGGGGAACCATTTATTATGATAGTATAGTCTAGTTCACATCAATATTGTGACCCCTTGGAAAAACATACTGTATCTATCTTTGAGCAGCTGATTTGAAGTTTTCCAGCATTTTGTGGCCCCCAGTCCTCCAACAAGGAAACCAAGGCTCCTCCCAAGTCAGGTCCTTGGAAGCCCAGACTCCAGGTCCAAAGCACTTCACTTACTTTTGGGGCTCCTTGATATGGGTTTGCTATCCTGCTCCAGTCAAAAACCTTGGTAGCTAATTATATAGCCACATATATATATATATTCTATGTATGCTACAATTAGTATGATCCTATAATCGAAGGAAGTTTAGAAGTCAAACTTCCGACAATATGGACAGATGAAAAGCAGAGATGGGCAGAGGCAGAGAGAAGAGAAGAGTAGAAGAGAGCAGATCAGAGAAGAGAAAGAGTCAGAAGAAAGAAGATGCAGATGCGCGAAAAGGTAGGAAAGTCGCGAAACACTGCGTTTTTCTAATGATTTGTGGCTCCGGAGGGTCGAAATGTAGGCTCGCTAAAGCGGCGGGTGCGGAGCCATCTGGCCAGATGAGAGATAAAAAATTGCACGCCG